TTTTTTTGAACCAATTAACATCGTTGTGCAAGGCACCACTGTATTCCACATTTCCTTATACCAGTCTTCCATATCAAGTTAGCTATTAGATCTCCAGTTCTTTGCTATAATCAGCCGTGCCACTGTTACCATAATAACAATTCATTCTTGTCTTCCCAATTCAATTGATTATTCCTACCTTCAGCAAAGCAATCTTTGAAGACATTTGTACATCCTTTCACAAAATGTCTTTTATCTCTTTAAAAGTTCATGACCACTCCTTTTTCCTCTTTTCACAAGAGCACCACATATGTAAATAAGTCCCCTTTTCTTTTTTACATCCTGAGTATAATGATACGGTTTAATTTATTAAATTCATTTTAACAGGAGTTAGGTACCATCTCCATATGGTTCTGTAAAAGTTTTCCTTGACCCGTATTGACATGTTTTCCATTATTCTTCTATTCTACAGTCTATTCCAATCTTCCCTTTGATTTGATTTGCTAGATCATTTTGCCATACTTCTTTAAGTGCTATTGTTTTAAATATTGCCTGTACTACCTTGTGAGCTTAAAACAGTGATGGTGAACCTTTCTGAGCCCCAGTGCCCAAACTGCAAGACAAAACCAACCACAACTGTCCCAAAGAGTCCCACTCCTGGCTGCACAACCTCCAGCGCCTGCCCGGGACACTAGCTGCACAACCTTCAGCGCCTGCCCGGGACACTCCTTGCTCTGCCTCCGGCTGCAGTCCTTAAAGGTGCAGGCGGCAGGAGCCATGTGTTTCCATACCTGGTGACCGTGGGGGTGGGGTGGGGGGGTGGCCGTTGCCATCTTGGCTCTCCCTCCCTTCCCAAGACTTCTTCTCGAAATCTGGGATCGTAGGACAGGTAAGTATTTCTCAACAGACTTATGGCTCGAGTGCCCACAGACAGGGCTCCACGTGCCAGTTGTTGCACGCATGCTATAGGTTCATCATCACTGGCTTAAAATAAGAAAAGGAGTATTGTGCATCAATGACCTTAGAGACATATGCAGGGCTTTCAAATTTTTATAATGTCTCACCAGTCAGGCAAAAATTTCACCAGTCAGCATGACCGGACTATAGCCTTGCAATTTATTAGGATTGGGAATCACTGATTTATACCCTCAGACTTGGGTTGCTTTATTACCTGCATGCCTGTGGGGTCATGAAGCTTGTATTTTGAATGCCTTTCTTTTGAATATCTCCAGCAAAAATAAAACTGAAAGCAAAAGCACCCGGCCTCTTAAGGAGCCATGGTTCCCTCCCACCTCAGGATGTGTCCTCGTTTGGTTGAAATTGGGAGCAGGGAATCTCCATATTCTCCAGCATGGGACTACTCTACTTTCTCCTGCAGAGCTATATCTCTATGTGCCACTCAAGCTCTCTTCTTGCAAGAAAAAGGTAGTTTTCCTTTTGTAATGGGAGGAGGGAGGGGAGGACTGAAGGATTAGAGAGAGAGAGAGAGAGAGAGAGAGAGAGACACGAGAAGGGGAAGGAAGAAGGCAGGGAGTGAGTTGTGGCTCATCGAGCAGCATTTTTCACTCGTCACAGACGAGTGGACAAGTGCATTTTTCCAGCCCTGGACATATGGAAACCATTCTTGTTACGTGTGTTAGAGAAATGAAAAGGCTTCACTCACAGTGAAGAGTCATTGTACTTCTGGATAGAAACAGGGCCATAATATAATAACTACAAATAAAAAAGTAAATAATTATAAAATTTGATATTTGAATAGAACAACTATCTCAAGTGAGGAAGGAAGCACAAGAGCATATAAGTGTGTGTAGGTTTTTTTCCTTTTATCTTCATTTTCCTTTACTATTTTGTTAATGTAATAGTAGTAAACATCTTGTGTATTTTGTTTAATAAAAATATATTTTAAAAACCCAAGCAGATAACTTTGAAGATCAAAGTTTATTTTAATCAATTATAGGGAGAATTTGGATACTCAACAAAGCAGCTATACTAAATAACATATGTTAAAGTTTGGAGTTTTGAAATAATAAAGGGGAAGAAAGAAGTGTAACCCTGGAAATGTGATACAGTATGTGATAATAAAATGGAGGTCTGAACAGCAATGCACTGGCTATTAAAAGTTACTTCAGGGCAAACAGCTATTTTTGCCAGATTAGCAAAATACATGTAAAAGGTTACTGGCTCTGCTAGGCTAGCAAAACACATTGTAATTCAGTAGGATTTAAAATTTTAGAGGATCTCTTAGAAAAATTAATGTAGTTTAGAGCAAGCCCCATGGAAAGACACTGTATATTTACTTCAATAGCAAAACCAAACTTTGTGTTTACAAACAACCTAATCAACATGTTTTGCAATACTAGCCAGCTCCATTGAAATTTTTATTTTATCTCTGAGAGTAGCCATCAGCTAAGTGGGTATCTGCTTATTTACCTTAATGTACCCAAAAGCATAAATATGCTGAGTATAACACAGTGAAATTGTTAGCAAGAGGCCAAGAACCAAGAAGAATGAGGCAGTCAGAAGACATATTACAAGTTGAAAACATGCACAGAGAAAGAAATACAGTGGTGCGTCGCTTAATGATTACCTAGTTAAATGACGAAACCTCTTCACGATGAAGTTTTCAACAACTTTGAATTATCTTTATGCATATGGAACACTGAAGCAGTGTAGATGAATAAAGTTTGTAGAAATAGACATGCTAACGTTCCTTGAAATAATTTCAGCAATTAAACGAATTACAATGTGTTTTGCTTCACGCCCAGATGAATGCTGATATTGAAAAGGATTACCTGATCTCATCTTGTAATTAACCCTTTCAGGGATAAATGTCAGCTGTGACAGACTACCAACCACAGACTACCAAGAAATATTATAATTTTATAGTGTTCTGAGGATTTTGTTTGAGTGTCACACATTTGACTATGACACTTATAATCAAAATCTGCAGAACAAATACCACTGTTATCACTAAGATACATACTTTTAAGATCTCTTATTAAAATTCAAAATATACAAGCAGAAAACAAATCTTGTTTGTTGAAATCTTTAACTTGTATAGGGCAAAGGATTTGTTACATGTTCCTACAATGTATGAGAACACATGTCCCTACTTATTTTGTAACTATCTTTCTGTGACTCATACAGCAATTTTTCCCCATTTAAAGATTGTAAGAGGAAAATTAGATCCACCTCTTAATAGTTCTGAAATAATGATTCTTAGATGCACAAGGATTTCTGTCTAAAACATGCTTGATATCTCTGATAAGAGGGAAATGTTTATTTATGCATTCACACTGCATGACAGTAGCATCCCTGATACTGAAGCACATAAGATATCTGTGTTTCTCTTAAAAGAGCCCACATTTAGCACACTCTAGTCTAACTGACGGTTTTAGGCTACTAGTGTTGTAGGTTTACCACTTCTACACCAGGCTAAAGGATCTAAACTGCAGCTGTTAATTTTCCTCCGTGATAGATATCATTCTGCACAGTTGGTGGTAATGATATCATGGGTGTGATGCTGAATAAAGTGAAAGACAAGGCTCCAAAACTATTCTGTTTCTTTCACAGCAATGATTTGCAAAGCTTACCTTTGATGAGGAGGCATATGTAGTGAACTTGGAGTACCACTTGCTGGCCTTCTCTGCAACTCCTTTCCCTGCAGTAAACATGCTGCTCTTTAGAACATCAAATGTAGGTGTTAGTAGTGTATCCAAGTTGAATGAAGTTGGAGAAGCAAGAGTGACTGTGCCAGCCATCTCTTGAACTTGTCCTTTCGACAGATTGTTTGGGGAGAACACTGGCGAGGACCAAAGCCTGTCCCTGACTCGCACTTCATTTTTTGCATGGTAGCTTTTGGACTTGGAGAGGCTTGTTGGCCTGGGTGAGTTTGGGGGAAGGCTAGATCGCCGACATGGCTGGGCAAATGTTGGACTTTTTTTGGTGCCATTCTTGTCATTGTAGGCCTTTTGCAGATCCATGCTTGGTGCACGGCTTGATAAAGGACTACTCATATTATTCATATACATCTCTATTTCTTCAGCTAAATCTCGCCTTGCCGATGGAGTTGAGGTACTTTTGTCTTCCTCCTCCTCCTCCTCCTCTTCTTTCTGTTGTCCTATCTCAGCAGCCAGCAAGGAAAGTGGATCAAATCCTGTTTCAACATCAGTTTTTTCAACAGGTTTTGCTGGAAAGCTGATGGCCCGCTGAATTCTCTTTGGTTTTTTGTGGAACAGTTTCACAGTTTTCACCGAGACAGGTTCATTATCCAAATCTTCCAGATCAAATATAACTGGGGATTCCTTATCCTTAAAATTGTTCTCATAGGGTGCATCTTCATCACTGGATTCTTTTTCCAGGCTTCCTCTCTTATTGGGTTCTAAAGAAGATTGTCTAAGATTGAGAGTCTTTGGACGTATTCTCTTCTCAAATACCTTAGAAAGTATTTTTGCATCTATTCCCAGGCTTTCAACAATTTCTGCAGGGCTTGCTTCGTGATTAATTTGATTTTTCATTAGCTCAATTAGAGCATCTCCACTCAGATTCCGGTTTCTGTTTCTCCAAACTGTCCGCTTGTGTTCTATTTCAGCTGCATTTAGATGTCTGCTTCTTAAATTCTCAGCTTTAGTAAATTTTGATTTGTTGTTATCCTCAAAACAAGAGAATAGCAATCCTGCAGAACTTTCTGGGAGGGGAAAAGCACACACAAAACCCAAGACAGTGAAGCTAGTTTCGCCAAAAAGTAAAGCAATTGATAATTTGCCATAAAGCACTCTGACATGCACATCTACCCTCCCAACACATCTAAGTGAGGTGGGGCACCTTTATTTTACTATCACATTTAAAAGTAACCCCCCTAAGGTTTAGGAAAATACAGCCACTGTGTATATATGGAAGGAGACAACGAGAAAGCTTTCTTACAGAAAATGCTTTCTTATAGAAAACAAGAGAAAACAAGCCCTGCCCCCATAAGTGGGAATTTTCAAGGATGACAGCTTACCTGTTGTGGTATCTCCTATTTTGCCGAATCTGTCACTAACGCGAACAATCCTTGAAGCAGGCGAAGCACTACTGGAATTTTGATAATTTAATGCAGGAAGACAGTCACCACTGCCCTTTCCGCTCTCTATCTCAGATACTGTATACAGACAAGAGACACAGACAATTTGTCAGGAACAGAGTTTGTTCTTAATAAATGCTTAAAAACACCCACTGATTGTAAACCTTTTCCAGTTTGGTGTTAGGTATCCAAATGCTGGGATATCAAACTGTTTCAGGATTAGAGATGAACATGAACTGAACCACAAACGAGGAAAAAAAATTGATCTGAACAAGTTCTTGGTCTGGATATCCTGTTTGCTCCATTTTGCTTTGGCAAACCCGGATGCCCGCCTCTCTCCCTTTATCTCCCTACCTTGTCTTAAAGCTGCTGCCACGACCACTGCAATCCTAAGAGGCAGCAGGCCCGACTCCTTACATGGAGGCCAGGCCTGCTGCTTGTGCGCATGTGTCTGCCACTCAGCTGACAGGAGGCAATATAGGCAGGAGGAGAGGAGGGCGGTTTGCACCCCCCAGCATGAACGTGAAGAACAAACTGTGAACTAGTTTGTTTTTCAAGGGAGGGTCATGGTAGTTCATGGTTTATATGGGGAGCCACAAACCATCATGAACCATTGGTTTTCCGATTCATGCCCAACTATATTCAGGATACCTAACCATTTGATATTGTTTATACTTGTCCCCCCTCCCATGACATAGCTTCTTTATCCCATCTTGGATCCTGTTTTCTTTATTGATCTTTCTGCTCTTATGATCAAAGTCATTTTGATGCTGTTTTTCTCTTTATATTCTGTAAGCCGCACAGAGTAGATTCCCAAATCTAGATGGGTGGGGTAGAAATGGAACAAACAAACAAATAAATAATTTTCTTGCTGTTGCATTGGTTTTTGTATAATACTGTGCATGTGTGTACATGCTAGTATGACACATCATCAGTAAGGGATTGGAGTGACTGATTGCACACATGAAAAATTACAGCCCTTGCTTACAAAAAAGAACAGTGGCAAAAGGAAACATTGGCTGGAATCTTTTTGGTGTAACTTACGCTGTGCAAACTTGTACTGTATTCTGTCAAACATTCCAGCAACAGGTATGTTTTATTTCAATTAATTCCAAGCTTCCTCTCTCCTCCTTTCAGGTCCCAATGCTTCCTGGTGCTCTTTTTCCTCTGGGGAAATCTTTGGGAGCCTGACTATGGGGTGGGGAACCTTTACTAGACAAAAACTGTTGCCAGGTTACTGGTATCATCCCCAATCCCAGTAGTGGCAATCTGGTGATGGTTTTTAACTATTAAAGGCTCTTCCGCCTTCTGGCAGATCACAAAAGATTCCCCAGAGCAGAAGAGAGCCCTAAGGAGTCTTAGAACCTAAAAGGAGAGGAAAAGGAAGTCTTCAGTTAATTTAAATTAAATATTCCCATTGTTGGATGATGACTTCATCCTACTTACACAACATAAAATTGCACAAGAGGGTTTTGGCCTATTTTTTTGTTCCCTTTCCCTCCACCCCACAATTTGTGTTAACACGCCTTAAACATCTACATTCCAGAGACTTCACATTCTTGCCAGAAGCACAGAAATCTATGCTTTTCCTGAGGCAAAAAAACCAAAAACAAAACATTAAGGATTTAATTTCTGGTAAAAGAAATGCACAAAGGAAGAAAATTCTGACAGACATGCCATCTTTCTAGCATTCGGACATCAAATGCCCAGCATATTTTGTGAAACTGTAGAGGTTCTTATATTTTCTGCACTGCATATATTTCTCTAATTGTCTTATTCAGACAATAAGAAGAAACATTCACAGTGTCAAGGTGTAATAAAGAAATGTTGTCTCATTTTAGAACTCCCGTCCTTTTCTTTGCATGGCCCCCAGTGATGCCTAGGAACATCAGGCTGAACGTCACATCCAAGAAAATGTTAGATATGGAATGGTGACTATTCCTTTGCCATGTGGCGGGACCCGATATGAGGGCCATGAGTGCATTAGAATTTCAGGCAATTTCCAAACATCTTAACATTCTCTCTCTGTCTGTGTATTTGTAAAGTGTAAATATATACAGGTAAACATAGTCAGAAAGCTAAGCCCAGCTGTGGGTATTCCTAAGCACATACGTGATGACAAATCTATATATTTTTGTACATATTTTAATTAATGTAAGCTACCCTTCTTGGGACTGAAAGGTAGAGTATAAATAATTGTGTGAAGGCAAAATAAATGAAACAAATTCTATATTTCTTGAAATGTAATGTGTGAAACAGAGTGTGAGTGAACGGTGAGTATTCGGCCCATTTGGAACGCATTAAACCATGTTTAATGCATTCCAATGGAAATCCCTGCCCCGTTCAACAATGCTTCAGCATAGCGAAGGTTAATCCGGGACGGATTAACCTTCGCTATGCGAGGCACCACTGTACAGGTAAACATAGTCAGAAAGCTAAGCCCAGCTGTGGGTATTCCTAAGCACATACGTGATGACAAATCTATATATTTTGTACATATTTTAATTAATGTAAGCTACCCTTCTTGGGACTGAAAGGCAGAGTATAAATAATTGTGTGAAGACAAAATAAATGAAACAGAATCTATATTTTTTGAAATGTAATGTGTGAAACAGAGTGTGAGTTAGGTCTCAGAAGACATACTGAATCATTTCAGAGTTCCACACATGGTCCACAAGCACGTATACAATTATGCGTTTGGGTTTTTTTAAACATACAGTCCCGTAGTTTCAGAACTCATTCTAAGCCTTTGGAAAAACATGGCTAACTTCACATTCAAGTTTCAGGCACTGCTGGATATCTACAGTAGAACATTTGTGCAACAACAAAACAATCTTCAACAGGGATGAACTTAAAAAAAATCCATCTTCAATCCGAAATCAAAACAAACCCAATTTGACTGTCAAGGAATAGAACTGAGAAAATCTGTCAGCTATTAATATTTGATACGTACAAGAACTAGAGTCACTCTCTTTTTTCTCTTCTTTTTGTTCACCATTCTTCTGAAATGTTGGTTTCCTTTGCTCAACTGCTTCTTTAGATAGCCTGTATAAGAGATCTGAATGCTCTCCTGCCATAATTTGAAAAAAAAGGGGATTATTTATTTATTTAAAATATTTATAACCTGCCTTTATCCCCAAAAAGACCCAAGGCAGCTTACAATATTCAAACCAAACAAACACACAAACAAACAACAACAAATCAGCATCCAAGAATACCTGGGAACATCAGGTGTCAGAAAACGCTGTGGCCAGCTCAGACATCTTTGGCACTGCTGGCACACTAGTTTTAACTGTGGAAATGTACTCCTGACCAGTGCCAAGATCCAGGCATTTAGGCTCATAGATAAAGCCAGGAGTACATCCAAACTGCAAACCTGTGTTTTCAGAGGGAGTGTAATAGGCGGAAACCCATTTTTATGATTTTGCTTTTGAATGACTAGGAGCACTTCTGTCTTGTCTGGATTAAGCTTCAGTTTATTTACCCTTGCCCTGTCCATTACTGAACCCAGACACCGATCTAGAACTGAAATAACCTCTTTGGAATCAGATGGAAAGATGGGTATCATCCGACTACTGCAGAGACCGAATCCCAAAACACCAGACAACCTCTCCCAGTAATTTCAGGTCTATGCTTAATATCATAGTTAACAATATTGAACTCATACAGGCTGAATAGAAATCTCCCAGCACCACCTTCTGAACCAGGTCTTTTAAGAAGGATAGGAGCCACTACCAAACAGTCCTTCCAACTCCTATCCCAGATAGGGAACCCAAAGAATACCATGGTCAAGGTAAAGGTTCCCCTTGACAATTTTTGTCCAGTCATGTTCGGCTCTAGGGGGCGGTGTTCATCCCCGTTTCCAAGCCATAGAGCCAGCGTTTCGTACGAAGACAATCTTCCGTGGTCACATGGCCAGTGCGACTTAGACACGGCACGCTGTTACCTTCCCACCGAGGTGGTCGCTATTTATCTACTTGCATTTGCATGCTTTCAAACTGCTAGGTTGGCAGGAGCTGGGACAAAGCAACGGAGCTCACTCCATCGCATGGATTCGATCTTACGACTGCTGGTCTTCTGACCCTGCAGCACAGGCTTCTGCGGTTTAGCCCGCAGCGCCACCACGTCCCTTACCGCCACCACATCCCTGGTATCAAAAATACTGAGGAGTCTATCACAACCGAGAGGGACACACTCTCCTGTCCAGTTCCCAGTCCAGATCATCCATGAAGCCAACCAAAGCCATTTCTGTGCCATATCCGGGTCTAAAGTAAAATTAAATCAGCCCAGATCAAATCTCCATCCAAGAACATGTGGAGCTGAGAAGCCACTACATATGCCAGAGTATTATTAAATAGTTATTATCCAGTACTGTGTGATTCAGGGAGGGCTTTTTCAGCAAAAGTCTTATTGCCACCTGTTTTCACCAGGATAGCATGCGTCCTTATAAGGAGGAAATCTCATCCACCTGCCCAGCCTTTCCCAACTACTTTGAAAGTCTGGAAGTGCAAAGTTCCATTACATATGTGATAGCTCTCATCCCTCCTGTGAACCTGTCAGTTTCTTCAGCCTGTACAAACTGGAATTGGTCCATTAGCATGGGACACGCAGAGGCTAAAGTTATATCCACAGGGCCTGTGTCAACTACAGTCAAAAAACATCCAAGCAATTTCACCCACAAATTATCAGGCAAAATTTTCAAAGTGGGCTGTTAAAAACCCAACAGAATAGATATATGTAGATATATGAGTTGAAAATTCATAGACTGAGAGTGCTTCCAGATAACAACTATGCAATTACCATATTTTGTTTACAGAATTTGACAGAAGTTCCTAACATTGTCCTCCAACTGCAATCCTCCCACTTTTTTAACTATAGAACAGTAGCTCTTTCTATTTCAATTATGGGTGTGAAAACATGTAACCGGAGTGATTCCCAGATACGTGTATTTGTAGATACACGTATATATATATATTTGCAAATATGTGCTAATCCTGATGCTCTATTCCCAAATGCAATTTTCTTAAGAAATGCAAGCATTTTTGAAGCTTTTATTGTCTCTGTCATATCAAAGTTATTCCTTAGAGCTCTGTAAGAATTTCTCCACATTAGCAAGCATATGCCAGCATTTTCAAGAGGGTAATTAAATCATGAGCTAGTCACATTCTCTTTCGTTTCTTGCAAGAGGAAGTTTCACAGATTATTTTCTCTTCAATACCAGTTTTGTAATCCTGTAGTTATTGCTTGAGGGACATGGTATGTTTCAGAACATACAGTCAGTCAGTAGACAAAACAGAGACCAGACGCCTATTGATGTTCTCCTACGGGTTGAGTAACTTGCCGCAGCTTACTGAAGAGGTATTAGACCACATCTCAGCTGCACAACTGGGCATGTTACTAGTCATATGGCCAAGACGTTCCTTGGTACTTCATCAGGTTATGCAAACCAAAGATTCTGGCCATCTTGTCACAAAACAAGGAGCAAACTTTTTTCTAGGAGTCTTCATCAGGCTAGATGTTATGAAAAATGACAAAAGGGGAGGAGAAAGAGATGGCCTGATGCTGAAGCAACGATGTCCGGAATTAATCTTAAGAAAAAAATGGAGAAGATAACAGACTTTCTTAGCTTAGATCTAAGTAGATGCTGACTGCTATGTAGATTTCAGGTTCAATCTGGAGCAACTGAGACAAAAAGGATTGCTGGCACATTCCATCAATTTTTGGAAAATATATGTTGCTTTCCGCAAGGGAAGCCCCTTGGTCTAATATTACTGGTTGTTCACAGAATCCAGCTACATTGTTAAAGTAAACCAAGCTTTGTAAATTAAACTGGTTTTAAAAACATTGCTTGGCATTCTGAGCTACGTAGAATAATAAATACAACTACAAACCAAAAAGCATGTGCGAATAACCTACCAGAAAGAACTCTGTGAATTCCATTTGCAGGTTGCTTTCTTAGAACTCTTTTAAACTGTGCTATTCCTAAGATGACGTTTCTTATCTTTGTCCACAGAAAGTAGCCACTTCGATTGCTTGAGGGCCAGGTACTTTCCAAAACAGCCTATAACAGCATTAAATGAAAATTTACTCAGACAAGTTCAAATATCTTTAAATGACCTATTTTTAGTTATCTTTTTCTGAATTAAAACAATGCAGTGAGTTAGGTGAGACTGAGATAGTGCTCATCCAAGGTATTTCGTGGTAGGATGAAGATCTGAATTTAGGTTTCCCTGACTCCTATTCAGCTGCTATTAAAACATTCAGAAAGCATAAATCAGTAACAACAATTCAAATCAGTAACAGTTCATTTACCTTATTATAATAACCGTATGTAATTGCATTAGGATCAACTCCAGCCTTTTTCATTTCAAAAAGGACTCTCACAGCTAACACAGGCTGGCCATACTGTCCACATAACTGCATCAATACCCGGTAGCATACCTGAAAAAACAAATTCCGTTTCTTAGTGTTCTCTTCCCAAGAAACTGACATAAAATGATATCTTGGGCCAGCACGGATAACCACATACCTCATCAGGTGGATCAATCTTTTTTGTATGCATTTTCCGTAGCACATCGTAGGCTGTTCTCAAAGCCCTGACTTTGGAATGGCAAACTTTGACATAGGCAGGAAGGCAGATAAACCATAAGCCATAGCAGTGGCGCAGCAAGCACCTGGACCACATCTGAGGGATGGAGGAGTATCTCTTGGCTATCTTATGGGCTGACTTGATTTCCTGCAAAGAAATAATTTTAAAAATATACTTTGGGTGTATTAACTTTTTCAAACATCTGAGAGAGGAGTGTGTGTCACCCTCCCAGCCCCATTAATCATTCCTGCAGCAGGTTTGAAAACAATACAACACTGCCTGTTGTGCATTTTACTTAGCTAGCAAAGCGGCACTGCAGCTACTGACTCAAAGGTTGTCAGGGGACTTCAGCTGCTGCAAGGTTCTGCCATGATCCTATAAGGCCTTAGGACAAAAATTAGCCAAAATGCAGAAGACCTATGATCATAACTCCTAATGTTTTCTAAGTTTAACTGTAGTTACATTTGATAGGAGTGGCATGTAGTTGTTCAGGAAAGCTATTTTTTTTTCCTTGTAGGGGAGGAAAGTTCATTCTTCTCTTCTCCTTTTCCTAATCAAAATTTCATCTTCCCTCAAAACTGGCATTAGTCCCACATGCTTTATCTTAGTAGCAAAATACTAATGACAGAAAAAGATTAACTCCTTTCCATCAGCACCAGCACCTCAATGAAATTCATGGCCCTACTTTTTAATTCTGAAGATGAAGTCAAAAGTCACAGATCTCCTGCATCACACCTATCATAGTTTGGCATGCAGACTCTGACACAGCTTCACATCTCTCCGGAGTGTGAACTAAAACCAGTTACCAGGTTATACTTGATCCTGCCAATTTAGCAGTGTATCAGTTAACTATCTGCCTAGTCAAGGCCAACTGTGCATTGGCTACAACATCCTTCTTATTCACTCATAAGCAACTTTTCAGCCGTCTGTCCAAACTGTGCCGAGAGAGTTACCTGTTAACATTTATTTTATTTATTTATTTATTTTATTAAAGAGTTACCTGTTAACATCCATGTTCATTGTGTGTGTTATGTGCCACCTAGTCACAAATGACTTACAGTGACCCTAATATGTCTTTCAAGATTGAAAGTTCAAGACTATCTCCCCAGTGAATTTCCATGGCTAAGTGGTTATTTGAAGCCAGGTCTCCTGAACAGAGTCTATCACTCTATTCACTACAACACAGAGGCTCTTACGTTAATTACATGATCCATGTTCATTGTGTGTGTTATATGCCACCTAGTCACAAATGACTTACAGTGACCCTAATATGTCTTTCAAGATTGAAAGTTCAAGACTATCTCCCCAGTGAATTTCCATGGCTAAGTGGTTATTTGAAGCCAGGTCTCCTGAACAGAGTCTATCACTCTATTCACTACAACACAGAGGCTCTTACGTTAATTACATGATTGCTTAATTTATAAAATAAATCAGATGTTTCTATTTTATGATTGGTAAGACACAAGGATGATCAATACCACTAACAGCATTTCAAAATGTTAAAGTCTGAATGGCAAACTATTACAGTATTTGTTAAATTGGTTTCAGGCTGACAGCATCAGCAACACAGAACACAAATATTCATCTGGAAAAAAATGAATGTGAAGGCCATTAGAGGAGAAAACACGTTGCTTAATTGGCTGCTTGCATCACAAGATGGACAGATAAAAGTAAAGGTGCTCTTAGAACAGCAAACTAGGGCAGATTTGCACAAAATAATGGTAAGCTGCTCACTCATTATATCTGCTGTACAACTAGAACTGCTCAAAAGAAATTTCATTAATTAAAGTATTAGATGGCATCATTTTTCTACATGTTAAAGTTTGCTCATGAGGAGAAGAAACAAATAAGGCTAAGTGGCTGAACAGTACAGATGACATATTTAAGTCTATTCACAACAGGCTCCAACTGCCAGTGTTAGCAAAAATGCCTCAGTCTGCAAGGAAGAATCATAGAATCGTAGAAACAATGAAGCTGGAAGAGGCCTATAAAGCCATTGAGTCCAACCCCCTGCTCAAGGCAGGAGTCCAAATCAAAGCAGATCTGACAGATGGTGATCTAAATTTCTCTTGAATGCCTCCAGTCTCGGAGCAGTGTTGCTGTACTGCTCTAACAATTAACAAGTTTTTTCTGATATTCAACCGAAATCTGGTTTCCTGTATCATGAGCTCATTGTTACGTGTCCTGCACTCAGGGAAGAAGCCACAGAAGAATTGACTCTTGACATGAGCTGGGATGTATAATGATGATTTCTCGCTTAGAGGCTTTTAAAAGGGAATAAAACTATTTCATGGACCTTAGGTCTGTCCATGGCTATGCTGCAGCTAGTTCAAGGGCATTGTGCCTCTAAATGGCTGATGGGGAACAACAACAAAAAGGATCTACTGCCTTCATGCCAAATTAGTGGAATTCTTGGAACTATCCATTTGAGCACTGAGCAACACGCCGCTGGACTAAGGGGACTTTTACTCTGATGCAGCTGTGAAGTACCACCAGTTGTAATGCAGCACACAGGCCAGAATCCAGGGCATAGGTGCCAGACTGTAACTCAGAGCAATGAATAGCCATTAATTAACAAGTCCCCAAGTGAATTCCTGCAGCAGCTTTTGAGACATGCAACTGGCACATGACTGAGAATTCAATGGGAAACTAGTTAATTAGCAGCAATCCAGCATCATTCCATCATTATATACTGTATACACTGATATAAATATTCAATTGGATTCGGATGCATTTGTGTGAAGGAATCCTACCTGGCTGTCACTAAATTCCATGTTTCTAAAGAGTGCTGAGAAAGAGAGCTTTCTGTAAGCCTAACCACCATCTGTGTGTTATCTGTTTGCTCAGATTCTGAAGCTCAGTGAAACAGCCTTGCTAATAAGTCTAACAATGTTCAGTTATGAGAACAAACTTTCCATGCTTCAGTCTGTAACTGGTTAATGCACAAGGCGGGTGGGGGTGCAAGGGTGACCAGATGAAAAAGATGTCAAAATTCCTGTACAAATGTGGCAGGCCAAGTTTCAGCAGATGTATCATGCAATAAAAGCAGAAACTCTTGAAATATTCTCTTCTAGGTAAAGGTAAAGGTTCCCCTTGACATTTTTAGTCCAGTCGTGTCTGACTCTAGGTGCTCATCCCGTTTTTCAAGCCGTAGAACCAGCGCTTGTCCGAAGACAGTTTCTGTTGTCACGTGGCCAGCGTGAGTAGGGAACGCCGTTTTACCTTCCCACTGAGGTGGTACCTATTTATCTACTCGCATTTACATGCTTTCGAACTGCTAGGTTGGTGACGAGCTGGGACAAAGCGATGGGAGCTCACTCCGTCGCGTGGATTCGATCTTACAATTGCTGGTCTTCTGACCCTGCAGCACACAAAGGCTTCTGCGGTTTAGCCCGCAGTGCCACCACGTCCCTGTACGTCTCTTCTAAGCAACTATTAAAGGTACAAGAACCCTGTCCTCTTTTTTTAAAAAATCTGGTCACCCCGTACTGTAAATTAGCTTTCTAGGGGCCTGGGAACTGAAAGCAGTGATTTTGGCTCAGCTAGACCTTCTGGGTTTCTCCCTTCACACAAACCCAGGGTTCTCTGACAATATGAATTCACATAATTTATGGATCCTCTTCACTGCTCTGAACTTGCTAAGAATTTGCAAATTTTCTTGCCAACTACAAAATCAAAGTTCTCGCTAAGGCAGAAAAATAAAGGGAATTAAAAATTCACGAATATTTTGAGATGTATGTAATGGTGAACTTATGCAAGAAGGAGTCCATGGAAGAGAGCAGTGAAATGACCTCCCTGATGCAATCTCCCTCCCAAGGACTTCATAAATTTGCTGCACAACGGTGAGAAATCCTCCAGAACATGTTTTCAGCACCTGGAGCGTCTATAAGGGTAGCCAGAGGATCAAAATCACGAGGCTCCTGTGAGCATGAAATTGGATCAAGGCCATCGTATATAAAATTCTGTTTCATATAAAATTCTGTTTCATAAAATTCTGTTTCATATAAAACTCTGTTTGACACTGATATTAACATTTTAAAAAAATCTTAGAACTTCAGAGCTGGAAGGGACCCTATAGATCATCAAGTCCAGCCCCTGTCAAGCCGGCACAGTATGAATCAAACTCCCAACCTCTGGCTCTGCAGCTACATACCTAAACCACTAAGCTGTCCAGCAGTTCTGCAATATTTTAGAAACACATGCAAATATTTTATTTCATAATTTGTATCTTTTTCCTGATATAAGATTTTAAAATAAAATAAAATAAAATTGCATTATAAATGAAGAAGGAAACCAATGCCAGCTGACTGTGCTCACAGTGGTGTCCGTATCAGATCCTTGGTCACCATGTGTCACTTAAGCAGAGCAAATAAGTCACTAATATGGAAATCGTCAAAACAACATGGTCTGGATTAGCAGTCAAAAAAAGGTATGAGGACATTGGAATGGCAGGTTATTTGATAAACCAAATGAGGAAAAAAAGAATGAACAGCCTTTTGGAAGAGGTTATTCAGCACAAACCTGCATGTATCTACCTGACATAAGTCCCATTGGGCCTTATTCTCACATAAGTGAGAACAAAACTGCAGCTTTAGTAATATAACAGGCCTGATTCTAACTGGGCAACAGCTGTTGTGAAGAGTGAATAAAAAGAAAGAGGAAACATGAAATTAAATTGTTGTGTGCAACCTCTAGGGACACTGAAATCATGTAAGATTTCAGTGTAAAATATGTCTTCTGAATACATGTCATTGAAAAGCAAAGGTCTACAGAGTACTGGAAAGATGGAACAATTATTTATTTAATGCCCATGGAAAATACAAATATGCATTGCTGGATAGCAACAAAGGTGTACTGTTTGGGTCTTTTCATATTCAAAGGCCTATTGCTATTAGAATATCTTCCATAATACATCTAGTGCTACTCAGTGCTTACATGTATTTCATTAAGCTTGTGCTGTCTGGATGCTTCTGCAACTCTTCAACAGAGCTGGGATGTAAACAGCTACTTCAGACATACCTTTTGTGAGTTTTGATCTTTCTTCTCCTTTGAACAGTAGATGTCATTTACTATCCTATTATCTAAAATTCCTGAGCTTCAAAAGCAGTTTGCTGTCAAGTATAGGGAGTTGTTGTCTGAGACGCACTCTAGTCTAAAACCTCAAAGGAAGTGAAATTCTGTGACTGAACTGTATTTAGAAGTTTCCCACAAAAATGCTTTGGCATCTAGCTAGCAGGATGGGAGAGAGAACTGATACCACAATTTACCAGAACTCCCCAAAGACATAAAAAGAGACTTAAAACACTTTGTGAGACATAGCAAAGCAAGGGAACACAGCACTCTGAACAATGAAAATGTACCTGCTTTGTCCTTCTGTACATTGGCAATGGGCTATTTGGACTGCTAGCTTTTAAAGATAATTTGCTGTTCCGTATTTTTACAAGTCCTGCAGGCTGCTCAAACAAGTCTTGACTCAGCACAGGAAACCCGTTGTAGCTGAAAAAGAAGAGAGGTACATTTTACAGATTGTCTCAATCCATTTCAATCTAGTTCATGTCTGTTTATGAGGCAGAGATTGGTTTCATTGCTTGGTAGATAAACTACTGAGATGGAAGTACTGTTTTACAGTAGTCCAATCCTTCCCAGAAAGGCAAGCACAAAAGGTAGTGCTGGGGAATTCTTGTTCAGCATCCTGATTATTGGCCTATAGGATCAGGATTCAGTTATGAAACTGCTAACAGAAGTTGTCTGGAATTCTGAGATTCAGCAGCACCATCATCATCATAGGCATCCTTCAGTCTCGAGAGACTATGGTAACATGCTCTGTATGGGGGACTTGGAACAACGTCTAGTGTTTTGACGCTACCACTATGCTGATAACTCCTAATGCCATCTCCTAAAACACCAAAAAAGCTGTCTTGGTAATGAAATGGATAAGAGCAAACAAACTGAAGCTTAGTTCTAGTATTACCTATACTGTGATGGAAGCTCCTCTCCATTGGGAAGATGCGGGATCTCAGGAGGAGTTATGAAAACAGTGTGCTCACTCTTATAGGACTCATCAAGTTCTATAAGCCGTATCTCACCAGTCTTATCTGTATCCACCTGCAAAAAATTATATTAAATATAATTTAATTGATACTTTATAATATATTGCTAGCAAAACTTGGGTTTTCTGCTCAAAGAATAACTAAATTAGGCAGTGGATTCTTCAAACAGTGTAAATAGAATTGTGTGAAGTGCAGATTAAAGCACAGAGTGAAATTAAACCGTGCTTTAGACACTATTTTCACACAATTTACTGACTGTTAAAAAAATTCATATCTTCTTTAATCTAATGAAAATAAAGGAAAATACAATATCTTAGACTTCTTTTGTAAATATATTTGGCAATTCAATACGAAGATGATGCCTGTCGAAAGATCTGTATTATAGTCTTTTCATATAAGATTCTTATGTCCAACTTTGACTTACCCTGCAAATAAACAATTTTTTTTCAACAGTGAGGATACTTTTTTCCCTCAGTCACTCATTTTGCACACAACACACTAAGTTTTATTAAATATTTATGAGTACATATTTATAATATTAACAAATTTCCTATTCTTTGTTTAATTTGCAAAATCAATAGGGATCAGGCTTACCTCATTCAACTGTTCTGCACAGCAAACAGTTATAGCTATAATGAGATAATAAACCAGCACTTTCTTACATGCAAATTTCTTTACAAAATGAAATGTCTGAGAGGTGCTGCTCTATCGGCAGTAAGAAAAGAACTAGGGGCAACTGCTGCTGGGGCAATGCTCAGTACTGGATGCATGCTAGCCTTCTTTTAGGCTCTTGAAATTTTTGATAGGTTGGTGTGCAAGTGTAGAATAAACCATTGGCACGAATCGTAGAGACCACAAAGAAGAAGCTTATTTTCACAGTTGTATTCTTCTCAGTGATGTGACACCTACTTTTATGTTTGTATCAACTGCCTCAAGTGTCCTTTTGGGGAAAAAAGAATATCTCCATCTTCAGAACATTTCTACAGCTTTCAGAAATTTCAAGGACTTATCATTGACAGAGGAAACTGTAAATATGTCAATTACCTGGATATTGCCACACTTAGTGATATATGTCAAAAGCAAACACCTTGTATCACAACCAGTTAGATTAAGTACATTGCAAGACATACTGAAGCAGATCCACAAGGTAGTTGGTGCATCTCATAATCTGTTCCTCCACTGGTCACCTTCCCTCCTGATGTAAAGAGGACAGCTCAACCAGAAACCCCCAAAATCATTAACACTTAAAAGAAGATAGTGCTCAGCTTAAACAAGTTAGGATTATTGCACATTCACACAAAGAATCGGAAAGATATGGCAAAGACATACATAAATTCTAAGTATTCTGATTATGGTGAATCTCCTCTGTAAAAGTTGGCTGAGTTTGTTTTACTTTGTAGGAGAAAATCTGGCCTAGAGAGAGACTTGTGATTCACATAGGATGAAAGAAACAGCAGATTTATTGTTCATTTTTTCTCACACTTCATGGAAGAGCACAATACATTGCCCTTATAATCCGCTGTCCTATTGCCTTCGCAGGTGCGCTTGATGAGAACGGGGGCTTCTCTGTGGCTGTTTGCAGACTGAGGAATGTTCTCCCTTAGGAAGTTATGTTGGCCCCCTCCTTTTTTTTGTTCTCTTGGTTAAAGACCTGCCTTTCTGAGCAGGCTTTTAATAACTAAGTTGGGCAAGATGGACTCTCCTGGAGGCTGTACCTATATTTACTGCTGGATAGCTCAGTGGTTTAGGTATCTGGCTACAGAGTCAGGGGTTGGGAGTTCAATTCCTCACTAGGCCTCCTTAACAGGGGCTGGACGCAATGATCCATAGGGATCCTTTCAGCTCTGCAGTTTTAAGATTATTATTATTCCATTCGAGTGTATTTTTAAAGGTTTTAAGATGACCATTTTAAATTCACATTATACGTTTAATTGTTTACCATAGTCTCTCGAGACTGAATGATGCCTAATCTAATGTTTTTTGACATTGTAATTCATTATGTTTTAGACTAACTTGTTTTAATTATTTGTGAGTCATCTTGGTTCCCTTTGTTCGGAGAAAGGCAGCACAGAAATAAAACAAACTAACTAAATAGATAAATCATATTTTTGGTTGTGGTATTGGCTCAGGCAAGACAGGGGGTTACAGCCTCTACCCATTAAAGCTGCCCATGCCTGCTGTAAGAATTCCGGGTATTTCATTCCCTTACTTGGCACAAGGCAAAACAAGACGAAAATGGGATCTTGATCTTTCATCTTTCCATGGAACAGACACCAAGCCCAAACAGCAGTAATATCTTGGAAAAAGACTGTGACTATCTCACTGCATCAACCCTGAGTGCTCACTGGAAGGACAGATCCTGAAGCTGAGGCTCCAGTACTTTGGCCATCTCATGAGAAGAGAAGACTTCCTGGAAAAGACCCTGATGTTGGGGAAGTGTGAAGGCAAGAGGAGAAGGGGACGACAGAGGACGAGATGGCTGGACAGGGTCATCGAAGCTACCAACATGAATTTGATCAAACTCCGGGAGGCAGTGGAAGACAGGAGGGCCTGGCATGCTCTGTTCCATGGGGTCACAAAAAGTCGGACACAACTTAATGACTAAACAACAACAAAAATGTCACTGCATACTCCCATGACTTTTGATGGGCAGTATAGTGCTAAGGGGCCCAGTGTAAATTGTTCAGATTGACCAAAAATCTCACCAGAAGTTTATCTAGTCATGTATTTTGCAATGAAGAAAGATATCAGACACTTACTTTATTTACACAGTCATCAAAAAATGCAAGACATGCATCTTTATCACTAACAAAGGAGCATTCTTCAATGAAACGAATGAACATTTGTGTCTTGGTCATCATAGTGTAAAACTTTTGATGTGAACGATCACGGCTTTTTAAGAATCCTGTAAAACAAACACTGATGTTACAAACATAGTTTTCAGGAGTACTGACATGTACTCTTCCAAAATTTGAAATGAAATAGGAAAGTCTAAAAAACAATTAAAAATGCAATAAAAAATTAAATCACGTGCACAAATCCCTCAATGTTATTGATCTGTTATTGAATACAGCAGTGAAGTAAAACGGTGCTAAAAAGTTTTCCTAATAATCCTTTTTTGACTACAATTCCATCTTGCTAAACCAGTTTAGTAAACCGTGAGTGACTGCTGGGCTAGCATATCCTCATTTTCTGCCTCCTCTAGTCTTTGATGGTGCACCAAACTTTAGTTAGCTTAAAGTACATTTCTCCATTTCATTTAAATGGAGAACTATGTCTTACATTCACCAATCAGGATTTTAAGCCACGTTCACACTAGGTTGCCAGTGATGGAAGAAGGTAATGGAGACCACATGAGCTCTGACACTGATGCCCAGCTTTGTAAGTGAAGGATACAATCAGAGGGCTGGAAAGGCGCAGGCAGATTTCACCAGCTTCAGTTTGTTTGCCCTTATCCATTTCATTAACAAGACAGCTTTGCAGGAAGTGATCTCCCTTAAAATTGCACTTATTTGTTTGTTTGTTTTATTCATTAGGCTGCCCTTCCCTTGATAAGGGGATCCAAGGTGGTTCACAATATTAAAAGAACAAAATGAAAACATTATTAAGTTAAACATTAAAAAACAATTAAACTACATACTAATTAAAATACAATTGAATAATTAAAAGCAGGTAAACATTAAAAACTATCTTAACTTACAAAACGGCATTTAGGGACTCAACCATGATTGTTAAAATCTTCTCTGAAAATATGGGTCTTCCGCTGTTGGTGGAAGGATAAAAGGGAGGAGGCCAACCTGATCTCCTGAAGCAAGAGCATTCCATAACCTGGGAGCTGTCTATAGAGAAGGCCCCCTCTCATATTCCCATCCACTATGCCTGCCCTGGCAATGGTTCCGAGAGAAAGTTCTCCTCTGAATATCTTAAACATTGATAAGGCCCATATGGGGATACAGTCCTTCCGGTAGCCTGGACCCAAGACATATAGGGCTTTATAGGTAATAACCAGCACTTTGAATTGGGTCTGGAAATGGACCAGTAGTCAGTGCAGTTGTAGCAGGGACGTTATACAGTCCCAATATCTGGTTTAAGTTAACAGTCTGGCTGCTGCATTTTGAACCAGCTGAAGTTTCTGAACCATCTTCAAAGGGATCCCCATATAGAGCACATTACAGTTATCCACGCAGGATGTAACTAAGGCATGCATCGCTCTACCTAATCAGACATCTCAAGGAACAGGTGCAGCTGGCACATCAGTTTTAGCTCTGCAAAAGCACTCCTGGCCACTGCCAGAATTTGGGCATCCAGGCTCAGGGATGAATCCAGGAATATACCCAAACTGTGAACCTGAATTTTCAGAGAGCGTAACCCATCCAGCACAGGTTGAATCCCTATTCCCTCATTTCCCTTCTGATTGACCCGGAACACCTCTGTCTTGTCTGGATTAGGTTTCAGTTTTACTTTCATCCAGCTCATTATTGATATTAAGCACTAGTTTAGAACCAAGACGGTTTCCTTGGAATGAAATGGAAAGGAGAGATAGAGTTGGGTGTCATCGGCATACTGGTGACACCAAACCCGCAAACTCCAGACAACCTCTCCCAGCAGTTTAATGTAGAGGTTAAAAGCACGAGGGACAAAGCAGAGCCCTGAGGGACGCCACAGATCAATGGTCAGGGCATTGAACAGGAATCTCCCAGCACGATCTTCTGAGTTCTCCCTTCCAGGAAAAACCAGAGCCACTGTGAAACAATGCCTCCACCTCATCCCAGAGAGATGGTCCACATGGGTACTATGGTCAACGGTATCAAAAGCCACTGAAAGGTCCAGCAGAAGCAACAGGGACACATGCCTCCTGTCCAGGTCCCGGAACAGGTCATCCCCCAAGGGAACCAAAGCTGTCTCTGCCCAATAGCCAGGCCTGAAACCAGACTGAAATGGGTCTAAACCTGTTTCCTACAGGAATCCTTGGAGATGAGAAACCACCACCTGCTTCAGAACCTTGCCCAGAAATGGAATATTTGAGACAGGCCAACAGTTGTCCAGTAAACTGGAATCCAAGGAAAACTTTTTCAATAAAGATCTTATTACTGCCTCCTTTTAACATGCTAGGATACCACCCTGTTGCAAGGAGGTATTTACCTCTCCCTGTATCCACTCAGCCATTCCCCCTCGGATTGTTTTTCTAAGCCAGGAAGGGCAAGAGTCTGACACACATGTAGTGGCATTTACCTCTTCAAGAATACTGTCCACATCATCAGGCTACACCAACTAAAACATATCCATTATAGCAGGACAAGCAGGGCCCAAAGCTGCATCCACTTCACTTCAACCTGATCTCAAAAAGTAGTAGTACTGCAGCTGGGCTAAAAAGGTCCAACTTGGGCACAGATCAAGCTCACTTGGAGCAGAAAGTCTTGTGCAACATGTGATCGCTGGGAAAAAAATTGCACCGGACCATTGCATAAGCCGTCCAAAATATAATCTATTTCCATATGGGATCAAACCCTAAACTAGGCAACCAACTGTTACAAAACATTTTCAGAAGAAGACATATTAAGGTTGTTTTGCAAACTGGACTTAACATTCATTTTGTTCTAAATATCTGATATTACACTGGTCAGAATGCCCATTTTAATTTCTCTTTCAGTTGTGTTTCATATGATGGTATGAAATCATATGCTGATATCGTAAGATATTACATGAAACACAACAACTTCACATAGAATTACAGAACTGTAGAGATGGAAGGGACTCTAAGCTTCATTGAGTCCAACCCCTTGCCAGTGTTCAAATGAACTCATAGTTAAATCCCTGAGAGGTGTTGATCCAACCTCTTCTTAAAAGTCTCCAGTGAAAAAAACAACAACAGGAAAAAAGCTGTGTGGTTCTTGTACACAATCCAAAAGCCAAGAGAGTGCAATATCTTTGTTAGACCACTAAAAAAATCACAAACAAATGCTAGCTTTTGGGCCCACGTGGGCCTTAATCAGGCAAGGAACTGCTGCAACAGAAATTCAAGTTCCAAAAATCATGGCTAGATGTTTATGCCATGTGCCAAAATGAGGGCTGCAAAATAAAGCCAGGAGTGTTGGTTTTAAATTCCACCCTTGGCAATGTTGATTGACTTGTCCCAGACTCATCTTTTGTCAATTCAATCAACATTGCCAGAGATGGCATTTAAAGCTAGTATTTCTTTGTGGTTTTTCTAGTTATTTAGTGAAGGAGAGAGCCCACTATCCTCTGAGGCAGTCAATGTCACTCTTGAATGGCTCTCATTGTTACGAATTTCTTTCTAATCCTCAGTTGAAACCTCCTTTCTCGTAACTTACATCCACTACTTCTCTTCCTAACCTTTTGAACTGCAAAAAACCAAGCCTGCTCCATCTTCCATGACAGCCCTTCAAATACTTGAAGATGGCTATCAACTCCTAGCCTTCTCTGCTTCAGACTAAACACGTCAAGTTCCCTCGACCTTTCCTCATAGGACATGGTTTCTAAATCTCTTACCAATCTGGCTGATCTCCTCTTAATGCATTTTTAATGAAAATGTTAACACTGAAGTTGACACTGAATTTAGCCTAAAACAGATTCTGCAGAGAATAAGGAATGTTAAGATAAGTGAAATTTAATTGGAAGAAAATCAGATCAATTGCATGGGCGAGTGTTGCTCAAGTTATACCTCGAACATATATTGCTGTCTTAGCACAATCCCTTTGTAGCTTCTTCTATTACATTCTCAACCAAGCTATAGATTAGAGGAATGTTTAAGAACCAATTCCTTACCTTGAAGTTCAAAGAGGGAACTTGCATCTGTCGCTGTTTCAGACGGTGCTTGAGTAATAGGTCTTAGATATGACCTGTAACCTTTCAGTATAGAGGCCATGAAATAGAGAAACGCTTCCTGGATTTCTATGTCTAACTGATGTAGTTTTGACCCTGAATGAAAATCATAGTCGTTCATAGCCAGTTCCATCAGTGCATCATCTCTTGGTCTTTGTTGCACTGTGAATAAAAATCCAGTTGAAACACTAAAACATCACAAGCACCACCAGCAGCTTTCTTTCTACCCTCTACAGAGCTTATTTCATTACCAAGTTCATTATCCTATCTTATAAATGATACGTGGTGTCTAGCTTTTTCCAGCAAAGAGCTCTGAGACTGATATGCTAAGTTCATTATCCTATCTTATAAATGATATGTGTCTAGCCTTTTCCAGCAAAGAGCTCTGAGACTGATATAACTGATTTGCATCCTCAGTTTGAAAGCCCATAGCATGCTGACACACTGAAAGTGCAGTTTAATTTGCTTCAGGAACTCGTGTGTCAGAGAATTAACCTCCTAAGACAGGGACTAGGAACCTGTGACCTTCCAGATATTGTTGGATCCCAGCTCTCCCAGAGAGACCACAACATTTGTCAACACCAGCTTTCTATGACACTGGAACACATCAACTAATGGAATTGCAAAGGGCAGGGAAGAAGCAGAAAAGACAGAAGCAGGAAAAAGAGAAAATGAGGGATGTGCAGAGCATGGACAATGCTTATATCCTATGTTATCAATGGGTTTGTTGCTAGTTCTTTAAGTCAGGTCTTAGTTCTTAACTACAGTTTTTAGGTTCAGCAGATAGCATGCAAATCACAATTCTCTGAAAGGTACAAAAGATCCACACAATCACTTTTGCAGAACAGTAGTTGCTATGGAAACAATGACGTAATTGGTCTCAGTAAAAACATAGTGACATCCATGCAAGAAAGGACAATTTACATAAGGTTTGAAATGTGTACAGTATATCAGTGAGTGGAAGAACTGAAGCATAACAGTAAAATATTCATCAGACTGCTCCTGCGTTGCTGTCTTCTGTTTCAATGGAGTTGGCATGTGCCTCCTGAGCCATCCTGAATTCCCTTAGGAGAATAAAAAAAGACTAAGGAATGGCTTTGAGATATTTAATGAAAGAGGCAAGTATAAATCTCTACCTCTCTAAGCTAGATTTCAAGTAGTCTTGTGAATGTATTACTGCCACCTTTCATCCAAGGTTCTTAAGACAGTAGTTATGATTCTCCAGACATCCATACAACCACCCTGTGAGGTAGATTAGGCTCAGAGAGAATGATTGGCTCAAGATAAACGTCATAAAATTTTATGGCTGAATAGGAATTTGAATTCACTTGCATTCACTTGCTGTGAAAACATACACAGGAATATGGGTTTCCACAGCTCTGTTTGCATTAATTAGCCACATAGAGAGGAGAAAAGCCTTATTTGCAGTTGTTTGCAACTCTATTGTAGCCTTACAGGAGGCAAGTTTACAAAAGACCTACCTAATAAGCTGTAAACAAGGGTTTCCTCTCATTTCCTCCTTTTTGTTATCTGACATCACAGGTCTTAAAACAAAAAAAGAGTTCTGCTGACAAACAGAAGCTTTGCTTGCCAGTCCTAATTTGTACAAATAGAACAGAAAAGAAAATTCTTGATTGTGTGCTGGTGTGGTGGCTTTCTGCATTAGTTCAACAGTTGCACCACCTGAACTAATGTGAATGGATCCGTTTTCATTTTCAAAAAAAATAGTAGAGGCAAAAACTACAGGTGGTATTGGTGGGATTTTGGTTGATTCGCTTCTGCATCATCTGGTCAGCAGAAAAATAGATGAATCAATCTGTCCCAATCCTGGAACATTTCCTGCATTTTTATAGTCACTCTTTCAGTCTGGTAAATTAACACTTCTACCATACAGCATACCATACAGATGGTGACAGCAGGCATGAAATTAAAAGACACCTGCTGCTTGGGAGGAAAGCGATGACAAACCTAGACAGCATCTTAAAAAGCAGAGACATCACCTTGCCGACAAAGGTCTGCATAGTCACAGCTATGGTGCTTCCAGTAGTGATGTATGGACACTGATGACATTTCGGCGCCAGGTCAAAACCTTCCTGTTCCAGAAGGTTTTTAATTGAAATAATATCAACTGTGAGTCCTGACGGCAATTTTGAGAGTATATATTTTAATTGTATTTTAATTGTTTTATCTTTTTATTGTATTTTAATTGTTGTAAGCCACCCAGAGACCTTTGGGTAGAGTGGACGGCATATAAATAAAATAAAATAAATAAAATGGAAGTGAGAGCTGGATCATGAAGAAGGCTGACCGCCGAAGAATTGATGCTTTTGAATTGTGGTGCTGGAGGAGACTCTGAAGGAAATCAACCCTGAGTGCTCACTGGAAGGATAGATCCTGAAACTGAGCCTCCAATACTTTGGCCATTGCGTGAGAAGACTCCCTGGAAAAGACCCTGATGTTGGGGAAGTGTGAAGGCAAGAGGAGAAGGGGATGACAGAGGACGAGATGGTTGGACAGTGTCACCGAAGCGACCAACATGAATTTGACCAAATTCCGGGAGACAATGGAAGACAGGAGGGCCTGGCGTGCTCTGGTCCATGGGGTCATGAAGAGTCGGACACGACTTAACAACTAAACAACAACACCATACAGCATCTATATATGGATATTATTAAAGGCTATCTTCACAGCAGCTTGGACTTTTTAAAGTCCAAAAAGTAAGTCATAACACTGATACTACAATACAGATACCTTTTCAGGCACAGTTATCTTTTTAATTTTCCAAAATCTTAAAATAATGGATTCATAATGTTCCTACTTTACACAACCCTTAAGAAAATCCTCAAGTTACTTGTGGGAAATTTTTCTTTCAGGTCCTTGAGCTTGGAAGTAATTTTTTTACACTAATTATTTTTCCAACAAATAACACTTTGCAATAACAACCTGCAAAAACAAATATTTTGCTTAACAGCCATGGCTCTGATTAATTGCTTCTCAGTGGAAGAGAGGCACAAGGGAAGTGAATTCTAATATTATATACCTTTATAATCAATTTGGTGTCAAAACCTATCTAATCACTTTAACAATATTCTCAATCATTTCTGAAGATACATCTTTTATAAGATGGCCAAATATATTCCCATTCTTCAGGTGTTACAGACGTTGTTTGATCTTGCCACCAACTTAACATGAAGCTTATTTTCCACAGAATAACAATCCGTTAGTATTCTACAAAATTTAAGTAACTGCTGTTTTCTGACCCCAGAAAATTAACTCTTTTCAAATTTCAAATGTTTTCTTGGGTATACCCTCATCTTCTAAAGTTTATCTTATATTTTCACATTAGCAGGTATCCAAAATGTGAGAAACAGAATAGGAGCAAAAGCACTCAAAGCAATATTTGACCTAGCATATTTGCGCCTACAGTGACATACAGTGATTATCCAGGATTCAGGGAAGCTACCCAGAGATACTAGGGACTGATCTTGATACTTTGTGCATGCAAGGTATGTACTCTATCAAGCTACACTCTTCTCCAAAAATTAGTTATTTTATTTAAAATATTTTTATCCCATCTTACTCCTCGAAAGGACCCAAAAAACTTTCTGTACCATGTGTACAGAGTAAGACACATCACATGTTTTTTCCTATAGTTTGAAATTAACATTTTCATTATGTCCCCTGAGGTCAACGATTCTTCTATACAAGATAAATTATATAACTATCAGAAAACATGAATTTGGTGAACCAACACAGATGACAATATTTATGGTTTTTTCACATACATTCTGCTAGCTGTTGATAGAGGTTGTTTAAGGTGTTCATCAGGTTTTTACAAGGTTTCTTTGGCAAAATCTTCCATGCAATATTTCTCTTATCTCCAAGTCTGGAATAAAAAGAGGTGTATTGTGGAAAACATATTTTTAAAATATTTTAAAAATATTTGGTCAAATACAAAGAACAACAACTAAAGTTGCCTGCATAAATGAAAACCGCTACCTCATATGTAAATTACTCATTATTTCACTACATATTTAAAATATGGTTGTAAAAGGATGGCATCTTGCAAAATGTCCTCTTTTGCACTTTGATTTCTCATGTGTCTGCTCTACTCTGTTGCTGCTGGAAACCCTTGCAAGGATGAGCAGTGATGCCTCTTGTTTTTGGCCCTTTCTACAGGATGTACTCACTGAGCATGCTGTTTGTTTCTATGAATATTTAAATCTCATCTTCTGCCCTACTTGATTCAGCTTCTCCTCTCTTCCACAGAATCATAAAAGCATAGACTTGTAGAGCTGAGAAGGATCCCAAGGCACCAAACCAGGAAATCTATAATTAAAACATCTCTGACAAATGATCTAACTGCTCTTTAAAAACCTCCAGTGAAGAAGAGTCCAGCCTTCCCTTTGTTCTCCATCTTGCTGCCTCCAGTTACGGTTAGTAACAACATAATTTTCTTGAAGTATGAGAAAACTGTAAATATCAGACATGTGAAATCTATATGACACAGTTTACTTTAATTTTAATTTCAAGAGGGGTAGAATTAAGCAACCTCTTGTGCCCTCCTTTTCCTAATAAAATTGTTTTGTAGCAAATGTAGCATAACTGGCTAATCTTGACTGGCACTAAATGTATGCCTCAAGGAGAGACAGGTCTTGGATTTACAAGGCTATCAATAACTGGACATTTTGGAGGTCACTGATTTATAGGGTCACCGTAAGTGAGAAGCAACTTGCAGGACTTAACAACAATAAGAAGGCAGCTGATCTTCACAGGCAGGCAGCTTGGCAGGTTGTAAATAAAGACATGAATGAGAGATCACCTGCAATGACTGCTCCTAGCCCACCAGTTAATTGTAGTTGTCCTTCAGATTATATAATCTAAAAAAGCAGGCTTTATTCACTTAGAGCTTCCACTCTTCTTTTGAGGAAGACTACTTGATTTTAACAACATAACGAAGATTATGAGAAACAATGGCTGAAATCCATTTGTGCAGTTCCATGTATACAATGGTGATGATGTCAACAGAAGCAGCAGCAAATACTCACTGATGAAAGGCTTCCTTTGGTAATTTTGGAGTTAAAGCAACTTTGCCATGTTTTGTATGAGTTAGGTGCACCTTTAAAATTGCCTTTAATTAGCAGCAATTTGTCTTTAATTGGCAAAGTACCTCTGATTATAACATATCCACTGTTGTGCGCACAAAGCTGCACAACAGGATTCTAGCCAACATGCATTTTAAAGGAAATTAATGTGTTCACGTATCCTATTCGCAAAGGCAAATAGGAGAGGCAGGCAATCAATATTTATCTGTGAGCATATTACTTCTTTAGCAAGGAATGTCATACGAAAACACAGTGATAGTTCAGACATGTATTTTAATATTTTGATAACTGCTGGAACAACTGCAGCGGTTAAGGATGCCAGCTGGGAAGTCCAAAATTCATTATGTAGCCTTAAGTAGATCACTATACTCTGAACCTTATCATTGGTATATCTTATAGGGATGTTGCAAGGATTACTGAAATAATATAATTATAGAATTTTGAAATATGCTATATAAAGTCTAAGTAGTAATAATAATTAGGAGCTTGTGAAAGACTCCTAATTATCAACATCACAAAATAAATGCTAATCACCTCAGCCACAATACTTTTCAATGGAATCAAGTCAAGACACTAAATCATCACATTTGATTTAGTGATGTATATAAAATTCCCTTTGCATGGCAAAAAGAACTATGAGATGCAGGGAAGTACACTTCACTCCAGTAAATTCTTTCAAAACAGTACAGAAAAATACTTAATGCTTACTGTGAAATGGTGCTTGTATCTAGGTCAACACAGCTAACATCTGGTGGCGGGTCATAGAGATCAAAATATCTTGAATCAATTCCTACTATGAATGGACATGGAGCACTCAAAACATCTGCCAGGGCTAGAGGGCACAGAGGAATGTATGGGCATGGCCAGTGGAAAGGAAATATCATCTTTAAAAAGAGAAGAAATTCATTTTACATAAACAAAATGGTGTGCTTCAAGCAAAGGTAACAAACAATCCCAAACCATTTCTCACATACTACACATCTTTAACATGAACACAGACTGTCAGTTTCACTCATATCAATGAAACTATAAGCAGAATCTTCTGAGAAACTGAACAATGCCATCCGTCTAACATATAACTGTTTTGCCTAGTAAACAGGCAAGGGCACAATCTAGGAAGTTCTTCTATGCAAGCCCTAATGATATGGTTGGGAGTGAGGCAAAAATAACTTGAACTACTTCAGTCAAGCTTGCACAGAAAAATATCCCGGAGAAACATTCAAAACATTTCTGAATCACCACTCTGTGAATACGATGTCAAGGTAATTTACAATACAGCAATGAAACCAATAAAACAGAATAACTCCCAACAAAACCAAATGCTAAAATGCACATATAACAAACAATTTCCCCTCAAACTGCACATCTGCATGGGTGTGCACATCTGAGCCAGTGTTGCTGTCCATTTGCTTGCAGCAAGAACCTCACATGCAATGGAGGAGCTCCCGCCTGGCACTCCGGAAAATAAAAGGGAATGTTGATTGCTATACAACCAATACAATACTGTCTGAAACCAGACAGGAATAAAAGTTTGGCAAAACAGTAGTGCTTTTTTAAAATCAGCTATTCAAAGGCAGTAACCAAGGGGCTAATTTAACATATGTATATGGGAAACGAATTCTGCAATGTGTTGCTCCAACACACAAGGCGCTGTCCTGGAACTCTACCAAACCCATATTTCTTTAAAAGGATAAGACCCTTGGATTATGAACATGGGTTCTAGACAAATTCATATGAATCAGACAGTCTCTCAGATATCCTGGTCTCAACCAAAAGTTACTTAAAAAGTAAGAGCCATAACTGTGGACTGGATCTGGAAACAGGAAACCAGTAAGACTGTATCAAAACTGTTTCTGTAACTACCAGCGTTCCCTCTAAGCTATGTGCGCACTTGCTTGCCCAGAGCACCATCAGGGTAACAAACAGGGTGCCATCAGCCAGTTCGTTTACTTCTTGTTTTGAATGAGCCTCCACCCCCCACCCCCGTGCAGATGGAGCAAGGCTCCCATGCAGGACAGAAACTTAGAGGGAATGTTGATTCTAAGCCATGCGCGCACTTGCTTGCCCAGAGCTCCATCAGGGTAGCAAACAGGGTGCCATCAGCCAGTTTGTTTACTTCTCATTTTGAATGAGCCTCCACCCACCCCTGCGCACATGGAGCAAGGCTCCCGTGCAGGACAGAAACTTAGAGGGAATGTTGGTGACCACCACATTAGCTGATGTTTTCAAACTCTTTCCAAGTGTACCTCATGCCAAGTGCAAGACAGCAATGCAGACAAAAAGTGATTAAGCTATGGTCCATAGTAGGTTATACTCAGGATCCCAGGTTGGTCTGCCTACTGATCAATGGGATATCTGTGTGGTCTGAATTAAATTTCAGTTCCCTTCCATAGCAAGGGCACACACTAGCTGGAGCTGGAGAAAGGGTGCTATTTGATTGCTCCTCATCACACAAGCAGCACTGGACCAAGAACATCCTCAAACTACAAAACTCAATTCTTCAAATGTAGTGCAATCTTATTTAAAAAAAAGTTGTATTCTCAATACTAAGTTGGCATAGCTACTGACCAACAACATGTCTGCTAGATCTGGAATGAATTTAAATTTATTCACTCACATCCAGCCCCTCAATACCCCAGATAGCACTTCAGGACTTCTACAGCCTTCTTGTCAGTTGTAAATCTTATGGGTACATGAAGTAATTGGGTTATGTCATCTGGAGTCTGTGAGATGGGGATCTCATCAGCATGATAAGGTCCAAACCACAAACCACAGGTGATGTCTTCATTACTTAATGCAGACATTAAATATCACGGAGAACAAAATAGAAACATGAAGGAACTTTGCAAGACAACTGGGTTTGGAGCATTATTCCTCCTTGACCATGTTGTGCAAATACTCAGCAAATAGGACTGGAAATGGAACACAGAAGTACACTATAATTAATAGTGTCGGACGCCACCTGAAAATTTGAGCAGAATCAGAAATGATGCACTCTTTTTGTCTACAGCACATGTGTCAAACTCAAGGCCTGCAGGCTGAATCCGGCCCACCAGGCCGTTTCATGTGGCCCTTGCAGTGTTGCCTGCTACTGTGCAGTATACAATACTGTACGCAGGCACTTACTCGGTCACCCATAATGCTCTGCAAAGATGCTGGGAATCCACCCAGCGGTACTTCTAATCCCAGTATTCCAAGCAGCGAAGAGTCAGAAAGTGATAATTGAATGAGGAGGACTATATTTAATATGATAAAGAGTAGATACATTTCTATAGTCTTACAGATACAACCGGCCCTTTGAGGGAAATCATAATGCTCATGTGGCCCAAGAAGAAATTGAGTTTTACACCTCTGGTCTACAGTACCTCCTGATACAGCAAATTGAGACTTTGTAATATGGTAGTATCTACATTGCAATTGTATTTTATGGTGGCAGCTATGAAACATTAACAATTTGGGGTTTCGGTAAAAACATGGTTGATTTTGATTAGATTCCATTAATTTTATTGATTGATTGATTGGATTTCTATCCCGCCCATCTAGACCAAAGTTCTACTCTGGGCGGTTTACAAATTTAAAAACAATAAAACCAATAAACATATATTATAGATGCAAGATGGCGAAAGTATAAGAAATCAAGATACGGCAGGAGGGGAAGCCTGCCCAAATAGCCAGGTTTTAAGTTTGCGCTCTCCAGATATTGAGGTCCTAAACCGTTTAGGGCTTTATATGTAATTGTAAGAACTTTGAAATCAACATGGAAATGAATGGGCGGCCAGAGTGGGGGAAATATGATGGTACCTTTTCACCCCAGTAAGAAGTCTGGCCGCCGCATTCTGTACCATCTGAAGTTTCCGCTGTCTCAAAGACAGCCCCACTTAGAATGCATTACAGTAGTCTAATAGTGAGACTATTAGAGCACATGGACCAAAGTGGTAAGCGCCCCCACATCAGGACAGCAATCCACCAAAGGTGGAAATGTGCGGAACAGACCACTGATGACACCTGGGTCTTCGTGGTGAGTGCCAGGTCCAGATGTACACCCAAGCTGCGAACCTCACTCTTGGTGGTAAGAGTCACCCCCTCAAAGGAGAGGGAGTTTCCCAGACCACTGATGTCTGGGACGCCCACCCGAAGGACCTCTGTCTTGCCCGGATTCAGCCTCAGTCCATTCACCTGCATCCATTGCTGCACAGCCCCCAGGCAACGCTTGAGGGACAAAACGGCATCCACTGTTGTTGGAAAAAAAGGAGATGTAGAGCTGAGTATCATCAGCGTACTGATGACACGAAGCCCCACATCCCCTGATGACCCCTTCCAGCAGCCTCATATAGATGTTAAATAGCATTGGAGAGATAATCGAGCTTGAGGAACCCCACAATTGAGGCTCCACGGGGCCAAGAAACTCTCTCCAATCTGCACTCTCTGGGGACAGTCCTCCAAGAAGGAACGGAGCCAGGCAAGAGCCAGGCCACAGATTCCCAACTCGGAGAGCCTCCCCAGGAGAATACCATGGTCGACGGTATCAAAGGCGGTTGAGATATCAAGGGGGACCAGCAGAGACATTTTGCCCCTGTCGGCCTCTCTCAGTAGGTCATCCGACAGGGCGACCAATGTCGTTTCCATGCCGTGATGCAGCCTGAAGCCCGTCTGGAATGGATCCAGGGCATTGGTTTCGTCCAGAAGAGCCTGAAATTGATCAGCCACCACCCTCTCAACTACCTCGCTGAGGAAAGAAAGAAACATTGGCGACGGGCCTATAATTACCAATATCATCCACTACCAAGCTCAGTTTCTTCCTAATGGGCCTAATGAGTGTCTCCTTGAGAGAGGAGAGACCCATTAATTATTAGAGGGACCCTTTAATTAATGGTGAGACCCATTAATTATTGCAGTAGCCCTTTCAGATGTTATAGGCCTGGCTGCTTTGATTAGCCAGGCCGGGCAAAGGTCAAGGGAGGTGGTGGTGGCAACAGCGGTCAAGCACTCTGTCCACCATTAACAGACTTGAAAGGGTTTGGAATGTTTGTTTTCTCATTTCCTTTTGCTTATTTTAAGCCTGTGAAAATACTAGTTTGTCCATACTTTGGCTCTGATTTTGTTGGTACCTAGTCTCACTTCTTTTGCTTGCTAACTCCTAGTGCATTTCATCCATCACAACATTTAAGGCTACTTCTATTCCACAATCAGGCTTAAACCCAGACTGAAAATGATCCTGATAACCCATTTCACCTAAGAAACATTGGAAAAGTGATGTCATCATCTGTATGAAAACTCTATCAAGAAAAGGGTTGGTGGGAACCAATTAAGGCTTTTCAATAAAAGTTTTATTACTGAATCATTTAGTAAAGCTGAAAAAATAGTCCACCACCTCTGAAGTTCTAATAAACCATGATGGGCACAGTCTAAGGAACAGGTGGCCAGCTTCACTCATTCAAGCAGCACATTCATATCCTCAGGCAAAGCCCACAGAAATTCATCAATTCTAGATAGACAGCTTCACCAGCATTTTTGGACCAAACTCAACACTCTGAAACTACATGAAAAGGAGAGGACAAATCACAGATGTGAAAATGATAAATACACTCTAAGGTCCATCTGCACAAACATCTTCAAAAGGTAAAAGCAAAATAACAAAAAAAAAATTAAACACATGATTCCCAGCATGGAACAGAAATCCAAACTCAAAGAGCTGCCTAGGCTTATGTAAGGAGCGCTCAGTGGAATTTTTGACTTTATTTATTTCAACACTTGACCTTAATAACATACCACAAACTGTGTTTGAAATTCACCCTCAGTTTGACATGCAGCTGGTGTTCAGTCTAAAGTTCTTGAGCTCACACAGTTATTTTCTAAGCAGTGATGGCCCATGGCCACGGTATCAAACAAAAAACATGCATTTTATTTCAAATTATACTTGAACTAAAAGATTTAACTAATAAATTTTGAGGATAGCTTTTAGCGCCTATTGAAACTTCAGGTTAAATTTAGATCACGCCACATAACCAAATAATTATCGTTATTTTCTATACAATACTTTTAATCAGATATATTTCAAAAAATCAAATGCAACTTACAGAGACAAGTGCTTCTGTTACACTGGTAAGGACAGAAGGTCGTAAAGAATGGATAAGGATTTTATGTTCAGTCACTGCAAATACAAGGAGATTTATAGCATTTTCAGGTCCAAGATTCTGGAGAAGAGCAGAAAACTTGCCACCACTAGTATTTAAGAAAGGAAAAGAGAAGAGGAGGAAAAAATAATTAGATATCTTACATTTCTTTGACACTTTTCTTCGAAGAAGTTTTTACATTCCTACCATACATCTGTGATTACAGCGAGGGATTACTCCCTAGACCAGTGGGTCCCAACCTTTTTGACACCAGGGACCAGTTTAGTTAAAGACCACTCTCCCAAGAAAGGGTGTGTGACATGCATCTCGGCGTGCATGGGGTGCGTGCATGTGTGCATGCAGGAGGCAGGCAGGCTGGCACTCTGTGTGTGTGTGTGTGTGCACGCGTGTGCTGGAGTGTGTGCATGCAGGAGGGTGGGAGTGTGCACGCATATGCATACGCACACGTTCCTTCAGTCCTCGAAAATCTGTCTTGGCAGCCCGGTCTTTCCAAGCCTATGGACCGGGACCAGTCTGTGGCCCGGGGGTTGGGGACCCCTGACAATGCTGTTTGATGGGATTTTATGAAATATACTCCAAAAAAAGTAACTTTTCCTAATACTTTTCTTAATTCTTAACATGCACCCACTAGTGCAATGGCTTTTTTCTTCTGTTTTCTTTGAAAATTTGCTTCAAATATTTTCACAGTTACACAGAGTAGATTTTAGGAGCATGGAAATTCTATCCCTACTTCTATCACAAAGCTAGCTCCCTTAACAGAATGATGTAGTGGATCCTGCCCAGTGATTTCTCTGAACATGTTACCCCCTCCTTCTTGCATAGTTCATTAGGAAATGGCCACGTTCACACATGAATAAGTCAGATCTTTTAACACATCCCAGTTTACCGTGGACAAACAGTACGATAGTGTATTCAAATTGCACATACTGTCTTCACTCCTCCTTTCTGCAAGTGAGTAAAACTGGCTGGAATCTTTTGTTGCTCTCAAACAAGCCAAGACTGACAAGACAATGAAATGTTTTTATTGTCATTTGCTTCCCACCATACCAGCATTGCTTATTACAAAAATGTTCTATCTCTGGTTTGTTTCACCCAGTAGCTTGAAGAGAAGATCAAAGAAATGCAACTGTAAGCAAGGATAAGGCGATAATTCAGACTCACTGAACAGATAAGACCATGATGGATTAGAACTGTAGTAGACTGGAGGATAGCAGAAACAACCTTTTACAAACTGATTTGAGTTCTTGCTCTTAAGTCATTCTATACAGTGAGTAAAATTTCAATCTTTTCTTATTGTTAAAACAAGGAAAGATAGTTCTCTTTACAGTGGTACCTCACAAGACGGCGACCCTGCTAAACGACAAATCCGCATAATGATGACTTTTTGCGATCGCTATAGCGATTTGCAAAACAGTCATTCCAATGGGGGATTTTCGCTGGCTGTTGATTAGGTCCATTCTTCACGAACCATTTGTTCACAAGACGACGATTTTTTCAGCTGATGTCGCCTCCGCAAAATGGCTGCCCTGTGTTTTCTGGGCCCATGCTTCACAGGGCAGCCATTTTTACAGCTGATCGGCGCTTGTAAAATGGCTTCCCTATTGGTGATCTTCGCTGGATAATGAGGTATTTTCCCCATTGGAACACATTAAACCGGGTTTCAATGCATTCGAATGGGGAAACGCTTTTCGCATGACGATGATTTCGCTAAACAGCGATTTCAATGGGATGGATTATCGTCATCATGTGGGCACCACTGTGCTCCAAATACTTGTCCTACATCCCTAGTTTTTAAATCACTCCTCCCATCTCTCAGCTAAAACAACATCTACAAACATAATACTTGTCCTACATCGCTAGTTTTTAAATCACTCCTCCCACCTCTCAGCTAAAACAACATCTACAAACATCTCTTTTTCTCTTACCTCAGTGGTAGAGGTGATGATATAGGCTGACTAAGAATTAGATTGTCATGAGGTGAGAGCTGGGAAAAATAAAAACAGATATTTATATTTATTTTATGTTTGTAAATCAGATAATATGTAACTTAGGAACAGATTGAAAAACTCATACTGTATTCTGTTATTAAATAATTAAATACAGCAAAGGTATATACAAGAAATACAAATTCACAAAATGACTCATGAATATTGCTGCTGTTTATTCCACTTTGACAATGGGGAAAAGACTACAATATATCTGGGAAGAGTGTTGGCCTGTCATACATATCTAATATTCCAAAGCAATTTATGTAAACATTCATTATTGTCAAAGGATGAATAATGTTGCCATGGTTAAAACAACCTAATTCTTAAGTATGTAGATCTTCAATGCTAATCCTTTGAAAATTATGATAGTTGAAACATGTTGCTTAGCACAGTAAGAGTCAGCCCACTGAATGAGTGGGGATTTGGTGACTCCTCCGTAAGTTCAATTGATTCAAATGGGCTTACTCTAGATGTGACTGATTACAATAAAAGTCACAACTAGAGCAGGCCCATTTAAAACAATGGAATTTACGGAGGATAAATTCTCCAGTGATTTAATGGGTCTACTCTAGTTGTGACTACACTAAGCAACAAGATTTCAGCCAATGAAAAAGAAGTTGTGGTCTGTCTCCAACACTCAAACAGTTTAATCTGATGCAGTTTAAACTAGCTTACACATTCTAACCGCTTAATTAAAGTAACTAATTGACCCTCTTTATTTATTTATTTATTTTATTTATTTACACATTCTAACCAACTGCTTAATTAAAGTAACTAAGTTACCCTCTTCTGGAAAGCTTCCTTAGAGAAATCCTTGAAAAGGCCCACAAAAATATCTAGATTCTATGACAAAAGCATTTCTACTATGGTACTCCTACATTTACTCATCCACCAAGAAGCACACGAGTTGTAGGTTACAGTCCCTTCCACACCATGTAACATTCTATAGTTCAATAGTTCTAACCATTATGTATCTTATATCCTACAATTGGTATATCAAAGACCCTCTGTTGCATTATAACAGAAATAAAACATACATTTCTGCAAAAGACATTTATATATTTACAAACATTCTGGTATGATATTTAGAATTTATAGTAATTTGATGGGTGGAGGAACAGAAGATTAGGGGAAACATCAAGTGTCCAAAGTTACTGCAAACACAATAAAATCCCAAATACACATTCAGTAGCAAACATGTTTAGTAGGTAATAGTGCGTCCAACTGCCAGGAGGCCGTGTCAACTAAGGGGAGCGAGATCTTAATAACTGTTAAGAAACGTTGTGTTCCATCTTGCCTGCATCTGTGTCTCATTGTTAAGAAACGTGTTCCATCTTGCCTGCATCTGTGTCTCAGCAGCAGTTTGTGTACCATTGATTGAGAAATGTTACACTAGTCTACAGCCCCATCCATTCATAGAACCTTAGAACTGTAGAGCAGGAAGGGATCCCAAGGTCTCATCAAGTCCAGCCCCTCTGCCAAAGCAGGAAATGCACAGGTAAATGCGACTGGTGGCTATCAAACCTTTATATAGGAACCTCCAATGAAGGAAAGACGATCAAGGCAGTCTATTCCACTGTCCAACAACTTTTTTACTATATGAAATTCCTCACAATGTTTTGGAAAAATATATATATTTTCTTGTAATGTGACTCTATCACTTTAGGTCCTACCCCCTGAAGCAACAGAAACAGGCTTGTTCCGTTTTCTGTGTGAGAGCCTTTCTTATACTTGAAGATGGCAATCATACATTTCTCAGACTTTTCTTCTCCTAATTAAACATACCCAGTTCCCTAACAGGGCTGGGTTTACCTCTCCCAGCTGGGTGCCATCTGCAAATGTCATGAAGGCCCCTATGCCCTCATTCAGGTCACTTATAGCAGTGGTTCTTAACCTTTTTGAAAGCAACGCCCCCTTGAGCCATTGAGGAAGTTATCATCGCCCCCCTCCCCGCGGTGATAT